GGGTCTGTCTGCGTGTCTGGGGAGGAGGGGACAATGGTAGTGGGCATGACAGGGGCTCTGCTCGCCCCACTTGTGAGGGCAAGAACCTCTCGTTTCCATCTCTGGGACAGGTGGGAACAGTCATTCAGGTCCTACCTGCCAGACTCCACATGGCCCTGAGACGGCCCCTCACCTGGACACCCTGTGGGTTTCCCATGTACAAGACCCTCGTGTTTTCCTCCTCTTGGAAACGATTCCTCAGCAGCCACAGCCAGGACGGGCTCTAAAGGGAGCCCAGAGCCTCCCCAAAGCGGATTTTTTGTCCTGCTTTCAGCTCGAAGTTGAAATCCTTGGGGGCCTCGAAGATGAGCACGATGGTGGAGCCCAGGTTGAACTCGCCCAGGTGCTCGCCCTTGCGCATGGGGACGCCCTCCTTGTTGGCGTGCGTGACGAAGCTGAAGTCATTGTAGGAGCCCTTGCTGTACCGCGGGCTGTTTGTGTGCAGGTCCTGGGGGTAGGAAGGAGTTGGGGGGAGGCCAGGATCAAAGAGGGCCCAGCCACAGCGCTCAGTGAGGGGGGACGGCACTAGAGGCACAGGGCCCCCATAACGTGGTATGTCTGGGGCTGGAAGCCAGCTGAAGGAGTCCTTCTCTGCTGTCAGCGGGGCTTCTGGGCCCACCTCTGCTGCTTGTGCCTACCGGTAGCCAACCAACCCAGCTCAGAAGGGAGGTGGGGCACAGGCAGGGGGCCCTGGTCTACCCAGTCACTTAGCAGTCCCTGATGTGGGCCAGGCCCAGGAGGGACACGGAGAAACCAGCTCCCCACTCTTCTCCAGCATGACTGGTGCTCCAAGACCAGCACTCATGGGAGCAGGTGGCCAATCACAAAATGACACCAAAAAAGGCAGGGCAGGCAGGTAGCTGGCCTCAGCGCTGGCTTTTCACAGGTTTACCCTGCCATCAACACAACCCTTCCCAAGTTCAAGAGCTCTCTTCCGGTTCCCTCCTCGCTCTCAGTTTTGACCACATTTACTGGCAGGAGAATGCTAATGAGAAGAACATTCTTTGCCTCCACCTCGCCAGCACCCCGAGACAGGCCATAAAGGCCAGGGCGGGAGGGGGTGCCCACCCCTCCTGGGGTTTACCGTCCCAGCAGATCCTGTTCCTCAAGGCAAGGGACCCAGCCCTCGGGCTTCAGTGGGGCCTGGGTTCTGCTTACCCGGTCAAAGTAGATGCGGATGGAGCCCACATTGGTGGCCCCCACAGCCGTCAGCGAGAAGAAGCCATGTTTCCAGTCCCCGGTCAGAACCACCCGCTCATTGTGGCAGAAAAGCTCCTTGATCCAGCGGGCCATACCAGGGTTCACCGACATTAGGGAGCCTGTGGGGGAAACCAGAGTGTCTGCTTAGCACAGCCTAAGGCCCAGGATCATTTCAGATCCAGAACTGGGTCCCCACCTCCCCACATCGGCAGCTCCAGTGACTCACCCAGGGCACCTGACGCCCGAGCAGCGAGGAACTGCAAATCTGGAGCCTGCGGCCCCGGCCCTGGATGCTGAGGGCCTCTCTCTGAAGCCCATGGGCCTGCTGCACCCATCACTCTGCAGCTCTCCTCCCCAAACAGCCTCTGTGGGCCCTGGGCCTACCTGGGAAGTGGCGCCGGTGGGAAACAGTCCAGTCGGTGGGGGAGTGGAAGCAGTGGTAGTCCCCAGGGGCCAGGTAAATGACACAGTGGTAAAGCTCGTTCCCGTCCCTGGTGACCAACTGGTTCTTGAAGGAGCGGCAGGCAGTGGCTAGGGACAGACACGAGGGTCAGGGGCCAGCCTGGCACAGGCTCTCAGACGAGGCCCTCGTCCAGCCAGCCAGCCACAAGCACCCATTCGCAACTGCAGGCCATCTGCGGCTGACTCAGGCAGGGGCCTGGATCTTTGGTTGGAATAGCCCTGGTCTGGTCCCAGCCCTTGTTTCCCTCCCCCTGCCCCTAATCTCAGCAGGACACCCCAGTTCTGGCCAGTGACGACCCACCTGGTGGGAAGGGCAGGTCCTCTGTGCAGGTGCGTGGGCCCAGGAACGACTCCAGGGAGTACGTGACCCCCTTCACCTGCTCCACCTCACAGTTCTTCACCTGCCCAAAGTTGAGGATCTTTCCATCTGATGGGCTGATCTGGAAGGGCAAGGAGGGAGGCTGGCTGCCAGGGAGGCCCTCTCAGGAAGACGGCCCACCTTGTTCAGTGAGTGCACGCCCCCAAGCTGTGCCCTCTCAGACATGGCTCGGCCTCCCTGCAGAGCCACGTGCCCGCCAGGCCACAGCCAGCCTGTGCGTTCGCGGGTCTTGTTCCCCAGGCACGGGCAAGAGGCCGTGTGTTGCCCGAGGGAGGAAGGGGCCTCACCACACTGTGCAGGCCGCACACGGGCCGAGCCTGTGGCTTCAGCTTGCGTCGGAAGAACTCGCTGAGATTGCGGTAGTGGTGCAGGTCCTCCACGGCCGCCTCCTTCATGTTCACGCCGAACGTCCAGATGTACAGGCTGTAGACAGGCCTGCGCAGCCAGTGCGGCAGCTCCACCTGGTTGAGGCGGCCCCAGGCCCGTGACAGCAAGCGCGTTGGCACCGACTTGTATAAGGCCACCTGCAGGCCACAGGGCGGGGAAATCGGAGGTCAGTGCGTGGCCGTCCCAGCTCCACATCCAGCACCAGCCCCCAGGCTTTCCCACCAGATCCAGGTCAGGTCCAGAGGGCCCGCCCTGTAGGAGAGAGCATGGCGCCCAAATGGTCACCATAGTGCCCCGAGGTGGGTTTGTGATGTGGCTGTTTCTCACTAGGAACCAGACTGAGGGTGCCAGACTCTCTCACACACATCAGTAGACGGCCAAGGTAGATGTTTGTTAATGCACAACTCGGCGACAAGCTGGGATCTCTGTCATCTCATGCAAAGGTCTAACAGCATCGGCCTGCCCGTGGCAGGGAGACTGACCTGCACAACCTCACCTCCAGGGTGGGGAGGACAGAAAGGATCCGACAGTAGCCAAAGAGAGGTGGTGGCATCTGCCTTGTCACAGGCCACTCCCATAGCCCAGACCACAAGCAGGAGGCCCCTGGCACAGGACACAAACCAGCCCAGAACGTGTGACCCTCTGCCTGAACAGGAGGCAGGAAAGCACCCCTAACCAACAGACGCTGATCAGCCGGCACTGTCTTCTGGGATCGAGGTTCAGACACAGGCTTCCCTGGCCCTACAGATCCAGCCAGCACTCTGAGGTCCGGGGGCACCCAGTGTAAGGAGCCTGACATGTTAGGGTCTTGTCCTGTGACCGCCGTATCCAGAGGTCAGAGCCGTCTGCACAAGAGGCCCCTCCCAAGACAGGGAAGGGAATCGGCCCCTGGGACCCCTGTGCCAAGCTCTCAGGGTGGGAGCCCGGAGCAGCTTAGAAGAGGCGATAGCCTCGGGATGGGCACCAGGTCCTCCCTCAGGGCCAGGCGCCCAGCAAGGGGAGCCTCTTCAACCTCGGGGGCTGCCATAGCAGGAGCCTCCTTGGATTGGCTGCTGCTGTCGAAACCAAGGCACCAACTCCCCAAGGTTCTGAAGTAATTTCATTCCAACTTTAAATACCTCTGTGCAGGATTGAATCAGTGGCTCCCAGAGAATTGCTCCTACCTCTCCCAGCTGCCACCACCAACCCACCTGGGGCAGCCCAGGGCTGCCTTGCAACCCCCACCGCTCGCGGGCACAGGCTGAAGCCTGGTCTCACGCCCCCAGTGTCCCTTACTACCCTTGAGCTCTCAAGCCCTACGACACCCACTGTGGCTACCCAACAGCCCAGGAGCAGGCTTTCCTCCTTGGGGGGCTGCCAACCCAGGCAGCCACGGTGCACAGGAGGAGCCCACTTCCCTTCTGCCCACCCCACCCCCTCAGGTATCCTCCCTTAGGGCCCGGGCAGGCTCTGCCCTCTTGAATTATCCTGAACTCTTCTCAGAACTGCCTCCTAAGATTTCTTCTGCCTGAACACAGAAAACTGGGGACAGACACCGTTTTCTGAATTCCCAGTGTGGGTTCTGGAAGAGCCCCAAAAGGCACAGCTGAGACAGGCAGGAGACAGGCAGCCATCAAGCCTTGACAGGCACCATCTGCAGTGGCAGCTGGACAAGCGAGGTGGGGTCCTGCCGCCCCCTACAGCCTGCCAACCATCCTGCCTTCTCTGCCGAGGCTGGTTTGGCCTTCAGGAGCACACGGGGGGCTCGGCCCCACAGGCCTCCCTCCGCCTCTAACTCTGCCCGCTCTGTTCCTTCTCGGCTATCTCCTGCACCCCAACCTCCGGCCCAACCTCCGGCCGGGCCACAGTGCCACACACACACTTACCCTGCTCACGGGCCTCCATCCCACCCGGCTGAGCGGCCTAAGGGCGCCGAAGGGCAGCAGGTAGTAGAGGACGGCGAGGGGCCACCAGCGCAGTCTCAGGGCGGGTCTGGACATACAGCTCAACTGCCCCAGCCTCCGCCTCAGGGCCAGCTGGGGGAGCTGCAACCTGCAGGACAGCGCAGGCACAAGTCAGTCACCAGGGTCACCCGACCCCACTCTGCAGTGTCCCTCCTGCCCACCCCCCACCCCCGTAGCTGCCGACGCACGTGGGTCCACAGGCAAGCCTCCCTGTGATCCAGTGGCGGAGTCGGGGAGCCCCCCCCGCCCCCCCCTGTGAGGCAGAGCTGACTGCCTGCCTGTAGCAAGCTCACGGCCCAGTGTCTCCTGCAGTCAGCCCGCTGGGAGGCAGGGGCAGCTGAGAGCAGAGGGCTCCCAGGAAGACAGCAAGAAACTGGGGCGAGCAACTCCCCCTCTCCTCGCCCCCAGCTCCCAGCAGAGGGAGGGGAGCCCAGGAGCCAGCCGTGCACACGGGAAACAGCCCAAGCACTCACAGCACAGCACAGGACACTATAACCCCAGTTGGCCAGGCCACCATTTTGCTGAACCTTTTGCTCCCATCCCCTTACAGGGCCTGGAAAGATCTCTGCCCCGTTCCAGGTCTTGTTTCCTCATCTGCTAAATAAAGGCAGTGCGCCAAACAAGATCTCAAAGGAAAACACAGTGCTGACAGCAGAGAGCCGGCTCGGGCTCCATCCATCTGTGGGCCTTTCCACGATCGATCGGAAGGCTCCTCAATGGCCCCTTCTCCAGCCCTGTACTCAGGCCACCTCCCCACCCTCCTGAGGCCACACTCCCGGTCTAGGTCCTTCCTCTCAGCACAGGTGGGTGGGCCTTGTCCAGGCCCCAGCAGCTCCAGGTTAGTGCGTTCTGCTCAAGCTCACCCTCGCGTCCCTTCCCCACACCCTCGGCCTCCTAATGCAGAACCAGGAGGCCCGAAGCCTCCTGTCGCACTATGCCCCCTCCAGCCACGGAGACCACCATGCCCCCCGCTCTGAGGCTGCCCTGGGTCTGTTTCCTCATCTTCAAAGCAACCGCATCAACTGGATAGTCTAAGGGTCCCGTCTGGGACGCACTGTTCTCCGGGGAGGCTGCTGTGTCCGGTGTCCCGGTGGTTGAACAAACGAGGAAACAAAGACTCACCTCAGCTGACAGTAACACACAGGCCTCTGGCCCGGTGCCCCCGCCCAGCCAAGGCCAGGGGCTCCACGCTCCGGAGGGCGGCCTGCGAGGCCACAGGCCAGCCAGCCTCCCTGCTTTCACCCCTTCCTTTCCATCCACCCATTTTATTTTCAAAAGGTGCGGGAAGGTGGCAGAGGCCAAGGCAAGACAGAGATACAGCCGCCCTCCCTACAGATCTGCAGAAGCCGGGGACCAATCTCCGAGGCCCGGCACCCTCCCTAGGCCAGCCGGGGGCGCAGACGCTGGGAGCAGCCCTGCTAAGGCCCCGGGGCGGGGCAGAGGCAGAGCCCCGGGCCTCGCCGGCCCCACGCACACGGTACCTGAAGCGGGCTCGCCGACTCAGGCCCGCGGGGCCGGGCCCCTCGAGCCGCGGGGGCTGGTCCGCCGGCGCCCGGCCGTCGGTGCCGCCGCGGGGACGCCGGCCGTGCACGCGGACCCTCCGGAGGCCGAGCCGGGGCCCAGGGGGGTTAGCACGCAGCCGGCAGCATCTCACCATTTCGCCGCGCGGAGCTCCGGTCCTCGCCGCGCCTCTGACTGACACATCGCGGCGGCGGGGCGGCGCCAGGCGCGCGCCTTTGTTTCTCCTCCTTCCTCCCTGCCCCCCACGCCGCCGGCGCTCCGCGCGCTCGCTGCTCGGCTCGGCCTGCGGCGGCGTCCCGGCTCCGCTCGTCTCGGGGGCTCCCAGGTGCGGGCTGGAGGGTCGCCGCTATTACGGACAGACGGCACCGGGTCAGCGCCCGCTCCGGCAGCCCGCGCGGAAGGCCCTGCACACCCTTCGTCCGTCCCCAGGGCTGGCGGCCGCCACGAGCAGGCAGGTGGGCCGGAGGCCCCGGGCAGCGGGAATCCGACCCGCGCTCGGACCCACAGGGGCAGCGTCGGCCTGTCTGGGCTGGAGGCTGGGCCCTCCCTCGCCGGGACCTGACCCGTTTTCGACTGAGGTTGCAAGGCAACACCTGAATGGGAGGCTCCCGGGGCCGGGGCCGCTCTGCGGGGCTCTCTCCTCCGCAGCTGCCGCCCCTCCTCCCATGGACCTCACTGCCTGCAGGTCTCCGAAGATGGGGACCTGGGCCGACTGCAAAGCCTGGGAGGCAGGAGGGAGGGCCAGAAACGAGGCCCAAGGCAGCTGCTCCCCTCACTGCCCAGCTTTTCTTCAATAAAGCACTTTGGCCCGGGGCCCTGCCAGGCCATCTGCGAGGACACACCCAGCCCACACAGCGCTTTCTGCCGCAGTCCACAGATAACAGGAGGGAGAAGAGCAAACATTCCACGGGACTCACTAGCTCAGCCCCGGGTAAGCAGGCCCCCTTGACAGGACATGGGCTGAGGGAGCCGCCCCGCTGGCCTCCAATCCCAGAGCAGCCCCGGCAGGGGGCAGGCAGCTGCAGCCATCTTTAGATGAAGAGATGTGGCCCCAAGAGCTACCGCCCGAGGCAGAGAAGACTCGGTGTCAGAGCCTAGTGGAGGCCCACGCTGAGCCGCCTGCATGGCCGACTCTCACCCTGGTAAACTCTCTTCAGCCACCGAGGGGAACACTGCCCAGCCTGGCACGTGCCTGAGAGATGCACTGGAACCCTGAGTATGTGAGAGGCCTCTGGGCACCAGGACACTAATGTTAACTGAGAGGTGGACAGGAACGTGGTCTGTTTAGATCCCTCCACTTAAGCTCACCTTCCCACTCGATTCAGGTGGCCACACCCAGCACACAGAACCACCCGTCAGCCTCCTCCCTCAAGAAGACGCTGGCACCAAGGGATGAGCAGACACAAGAGCCCCCTCCTGTCCCCAGGGGTCAGGCCCAGGCCCACTGGACACCCCACTCCTGCTCTTAGGCCCACGTGGAGCTTGCCCACTAACCTCAAACAGTCACGCTGCCCTCATTGGACCAGCTCTCTACCTAGCACCCCCACCTGGCCTACCGGCCCACCAGGCTCCACGGTGGACTCCCGCTACACCTCCGGGCGGGTCCGTATCTACAGGGAAACAGGCTCAGAGGGTCCCAAGCAGCAGCCAGGGCTGAGTCTGGAGCTTGGCTC